AACGGTTATGTTGAAGACGTCATTAAAAGGAAGGTGACACGCAATGAAACCTCTGAAGAATCAATCAACACAACACCTATACCTCATATTAGATTTTTTTATAGGAACGCCTTTCCCCGGCTTATAAAACGAAGGAAAGAGTTCTGAAAGATATTATTGATAGGAACGTTATCCCAACAGACACCAATAAGAAGATACAATTAACAGCTTACAACAAAAACAAGAAGACCGCCAACCTACTTACGAAGAAATTTCCCGACATCAAACATAACGCGTTAAAAGAGATTACGTCGTCCATGCCTTCACGTGCCAACTTGAGGACTGTCAGACCTAAAGATCTCAGTATATAGGCAAAACAAAAACGTCTCTCTCTCTCTCTCTCTCTCTCTCTCTCTCTCTCCTCTCTCTCTCTCTCTCTCTCTCTCTCTCTCTCTCTCTCTCTCTCTCTCTCTCTCTCTCTCTCTCTCTCTCTCTCTCCTCTCTCTCTCTCTCTCTCTCTCTCTCTCTCTCTCTCTCTCTCTCTCTCTCTCTCTCTCTCTCTCTCTCTCTCTCTCTCTCTCTCTCTCTCTCTCTCTCTCTCTCTCTCTCTCTCTCTCTCTCTCTCTCTCTCTCTCTCTCTCTCTCTCTCTCTCTCTCTCTCTCTCTCTCTCTCTCTCTCTCTCTCTCTCTCTCTCTCTAGGCGATTAAGATCGCAGAAAGAACAGGGCTGCATCAAGGAGCATATAATCTCCTCCTACTACCAGACCATTATCAGAGACATCTTAACAAGCAACGCTGAAATAATCGGCAGGTATAACGACAACAGAAGACTGGGCATCAGCAAAAGTCAGGACCAGCAATCAAGAACCAGTTAACACATAATTACATTCAACCCACCTCAAGACCCCTAACCATCACAGAGACAGTAGCAGCAAGAACATAATCTGCGTATGCTCATGCATGAAACTGCCTATTAATATCCATTATGCTTCATCCACTTGTTCATCTCAATCACGTCCTGTACCACCTCACCCCAAGTAAAATACAAGTCTGAAACTAAGAACTTTCTTGTTTTTTTGTAATTTATTTCTTATATTTCCATAAGCATCGATAAATGTATAATTTGTTAGACTATTAGTTTAACGTTAAAAAATCTAAAGATGTATATGACAACTTCCGTACGTATTTAAAAATATTGAAAACGAAGACTAATTACTCATTCTTTGCATGGGTATTCCGTTGAGCTCAAGTTTGTATTCCGCCCAGCTGTTTATACTAAGTATATTTTTACTAGTTTTCCAGTACTTACTTACTTTGGGTAAATCACCCTTTCATGGCCTTTTTAAAGCCAATGTCCAAAACATTGCTTAATTACCTCCATTTTTCTAATAAGATTTTCTTTTGCAATAATGATCTCGGAATCTTTATTCAAACCCGAGAACGCGTTCACATGATGAGATCTCGAATCAGCCTGGTGCTGCTTTGTCTCAGATGTTCTAGACTAAATACTTCTGAATATTGTGATTTCTAAAACTGCCAGCACAACCTCTCGTGACCACAGGGTAGAGTTCTGAGATCAACGATATAATCTATGCTGGCACACAAGCGCGTTAGATGTCCTTCTTCCGTTATTATTAAAGATAATTATGACCATAAATTGTTTTAACTGTCACCGTTTAATACATCAATTTGTGATGAATATGAAACAAATTTTTTGTCTTAGACAATTTATGAAGAGCTAGAGGAAACTATTTTTGTCTAGGATTCTCTTCTTCCTTCTACATCGTCCTTCTTCACTGGATCTAACATTTCTCTCCTTCCTGCTCCTGCTGCCACCGCTACGGTTGCAGCTTTCTCTCTTTCACCTCTTTTAACCATCTACGCTCATTTATTTTCCTTTATTTCCTCTTTCTCGTTCTTATTTACACTTTTTTCCTTTTAAACTTCTAACCCAAATTCAACACTTCATCACCACTCGTTTATCTCTTAATCTATATTTAAATTATTTTCTTAATAATTTCGTTTCTCTTTGTCTCTTTTTCGTTTCTCTTAACACTTTCTCACGGCAAAACTTTTTGTTCACTCCCGAAAGCCAATGTTGGTGTTACCTAGAAGCTGGAACTGTTCGGCCCCGCTTCTCTTCTCCACAAGTCTAATGCAAGAGAGTGAGATATGGAATGTAAGGTATAGCGAAGTGCTGGAGATAATTTAGAGGTGTAGTGGAGTGCTGGTGAGTGCGGGGGTTTGGTGACTCTAGCCTTAAACTAAAGGGACGTACTTTTAAAGTTAATTGCAATGTGGGATGTATGCATGTGCCTGACGGTGACAGGGATTTTCTGCTGTTAATGCCCCACTCGTCTCGTCTACGTCGTTCTTCATAACCGCTTGCCATTACCTCGACCTAGACCAGGACCAGCGTGGGAGACTTAATAGTCACCTGGTCATCGTCAGGCCTGAGCCTTCGCCCACCAAAACCGCCATTAGTTTTTAAAGCTACAGTCCCTCATGACACTTGGGGGGGTATGTAAGATGTTTAGACTATGGATTCTTGAGTGACTAACACGATGATTCCCGCTGTCCCCACCCGCCGCCCACACGCCCACATGCTGCCTCCATCCTCCGCCTCCTCTTGTTCTATCATGAAGGAGGTAAGTGACGCAGTGATGTTTACAAGGAAAGTTTCTAGAGTTGAAGTGCCATGTTTATGTCGCATAAATCTCGCTATATATTTACCAAAATAAGAGTTTATAAACTTGGGCCAGGCTAAACCCTGTCGGATAAACGGATTTTTAATCAAGCCTCTTCTGCCGGATTACGTCTCTTGAATCTCCTCTAAATCCCCCTCCCCCTTCCTCTGTTAACCTTAGATCAATGATGATGGATTTCTTAGGTGGATTATCCGTTAATCTCGATTGGTGGTCTTGTTCCCAACCTATGGAAACCCGCCTTTTTTTTTTAGCTCAATATAAGTGGAAGTATATTGTAGCTGATGGTGTGCTGTGTGCGGCTGAGGAAACGCTACCAGTAGTCTAGTAGCCACAACTGTATCAGGACAGTGGAAACTTGTGTACATTGCCTCCTCCTCATCCTCCTGCATCGTCTAGTTCAGTATCCTCTCCCACCTTCGGGCTTTAGATACCTCGTTGAATTTTCTTGTAGTGTTTGCTGCAGTATTCCCTCTGGCTTTAGTATCTCCTTAACAGTTTTTTAATATTATATTTATCGTAGTTTTCCTAGTGTTTTTCAACGCCATTTTCTTTTTCAAACTTCTGTTATAATTAAGGTTTGACGGCCTGTTTGTACTTCAAGATGCCGTGAAGCTTTCTCCGTTGTCTTTTCCACGAAAGCTAGTTTTAAATTTACTAAATTCTTCCTTTAGTTTTTAGTCCAAAAATCTGCTTGTTTCATTTAGCCTTATATATCAGATATAAATTTTTCTCCACACAATTAGTGCCTTTTTTAATATTTCCTTTCGTAGAGAGAACACCAACCTAATGCCCATGACTGCATTCTAAGAGACTGACTTAAGGAGAACTTTAATTTAGTGCTTGCAAACCGTAGCTTCCTCCATTGCCCCCCTAACAACATATCTTACTGTTATTCTTCCAACATCACATCATTATCACTTTTAATACATTTTATCATCATGCTCTTTCTAGCATGCCTCTGTAACTCCAGCTACTACACATTCCCTGGCCACGTCTGTGATAGAAAATAATAACAATAAACAACTCCCTGCACTTATCATTAAATTGCTTTAAAATCATTTTCAATACACCTTCTGTTATCATATTTTATAATATTCTCCCAATATACTCGGTATCCTGGCTAACTATAGTGACACTATTCTCACGCACTTCATGATAATTCTTCCTCGTAGAGTTACACCGTTCATTCACATTTTAACATTTAGCTCCCTCAACCTTAGTTGTAGCTTGAATTTTGCTTCTTGTCTGAACCCACTGGCAGAGTGCATCATGCAAAACCCTTTCAGAGTAGAGTTCGTTCCTCTTGCTTTTAGGTATAGCATGGGTTCCACTGACCTCGTAAGCACAGTATGCCCACCATTTGCATTCTTTGCAGCTGTGAAATTAGTTATATGTTCTCTTACGCAAAACAGGAGGTCCAGATTGTAATAAAAAGCATTTTTTTTAATATAAACGGAATGTTCGAGTTGTTATCGACATTCGACATCCTTAATTCTTTTCCTATTATGAAATGCAGTAAACGTTTGTTTTCTTAAAGTATAAGTCTTAACACTGCATTACTAGCATAGATTAGAAAAGAGTAACACTTTGGATATAAATCAAATTCTGTATAATAATTGGTACTGTTAGGACCTCCAGCGTAAGTTAACATTATCCTGCCTACGTATCTGGTGTGTTTACCGATCCTCTTTATTCACTGTGTTAATTTAATCGGCAATACTCCTTTTAGCCAATGATCCGTTGTCACTTTTGTTAATCGTTTGCTCAGCCGTGTCCTTTCTCAGTGTTGTAACAAATGTTTGTTGTACGTCGATGCACCAGAGCTTTGTCTGTACTTTATAATGGATGCCTCTGTTCTCGACTGTTGTGTTATTTGTTTGTATTTAACATCCGTGAAAACGTAGGTATTATCTTCAGGTTCCTAAATGTTTTTCGTGCTTGATTTTTTTTCTGGCCACATCTCTTCTGCCGCAGCCTCTTGGCGTGTGTTGTCCCTGCTGCTTTTATTCAATCACTAACTTCGTTACTCATCTGCCACTGTGTGTTTCACGTGTCTTCTCTCTCCCTACTTCTGTTCTCTTCGTCTAACATAAATGCAACGTAACATCCCACGAGCATTGACGCCGATGTATCCTCAAGTAGATGTATGTTTTCTGTTATTGTCAAGCACCTTTAGATTGGATTACAAAAACTAGATCTTAACAGTGAATCATATCAGATATAATCGAGGGACACGAAGCCCTGCCAGACCCAACCTACCCTCCCAACCCAACGAGGCATTAGGCATCCAGTAGCCACTTGTCTTGCCCCAACAGGTCGAGTTGTCCTTCCAAACGGGCGACATCATTTACGTGTATGGCGACATGGATGACGATGGCTTTTACATGGGGGAGTTGAGGGGCCAGCGAGGTCTTGTGCCATCAAACTTTCTGCAGGACGCTCCACAAGACTACGCTGATGACCACAGGTTAGCAGCTTCAGCAAACATGTTCCCTAATATACCATGAATGCCGTCCCGTATAGTATTTACTTGTAATGAAATGTAACACTATTAGTTATATACATGACGCCAACATAGTGATGCAAACCCCATTATCATAATATCATAATTCAGTATAACCTTAGTAATAGATACATTTGTTATAACGAATTTATATATATACTGCTAGGTAAATAAAGTCATAGGGTGAAAGGATACGTGCCAAGAGGTCTTTGTCCCGCACGAGGATAGAACCCAAGCACTTACACAACTGTTCTACACGACACTTCACACGAAAGTCTACGAGATTTTGGATATTCAGATCCACATCCTTTAGGAAAGCTGGCGGGTAGAGAGCACGCGATTGAATAATTTGTTTCCATAATTTAATAACACGTTCTCTATATATTTTCACTCTGCTTCCTCTTCATAATATCAGAGAGAAACCTCAGTCGAGGAAAGGTAGCTCTCTCACGCAGGCCACAATGAAAACATTTCGAGTTCTAATTTTTGCATTATTTATATTTTTGGTTAGCTATAATTTATTTAAAGTAACAAGTTTTATTTTAGTAATTTTGCTGCAGTTCTGATTATTATTGCTGTTGATTGACAAGGCTATTACTTACTTTATATTTTTTGTTGCTTGTTTCTCTTTTAGTTAGTAAATTATATCATCTCAAACTATGTTGCAAAACACAAGTTGTAAACAACTGTTATCATACAGATGTGATTTCCGCCGCCAAAAAGTGGGTACAACTAAAATTAGCTCAATGCCATATTGAAAATTCGCATACAGCTCCAGGAATGTTCAAAATAACATTTGTATGTATCATAGATCTCTCCAAGAGGCCAGCTTGACTGTTATTATATGAGTAACAATCAGTATTATTTAACATGGGATTTGAACAATTATCTTGGAGAGGCATATAATGCGCGTAAACAATAGTTTACACACGTGGAGCTGTGCTATCGAGTTTTACTGTGGCGTCAAATATGACGTAATCAAATTGATAGATCTCCGTTAATTCAACAACAGGAAGTTATAGTCTCCCACTCCCTCTCATCTCTCCCTTCTCGTTCATTTTATTTGTCGGGTCTTATGAGATTAATAATGCCATGAAAACATAGGTCACGCCGGGACACCCTGGATCCGCGAGATAGACCCGGCCCACCAGGACCGTCTGTAAGGGGACCCGGTCCCGGGGCTCATGGACCCCCACCTCCTCCACGTCCTGACCAACGTGATCGCAGGAAAGGTAAGTACTTCATCTCTGTTCATGCGTTTACATAAGTATGTGTTTACTTTTATAAGTAAATTCATTGTCGTGTTGCTTTGATCAATGTTAATGTATCTGTACTGATAGTATAACGGCTAAGCATTTGGCTTCAAAGTTTAAATATTTTTTTATGCCGATTTTATTATACATAATTTCAACTTGACAATAAACAATTTAAAACTATAAATCATGCGCAACAGTTAACATTAAATAAAATACAATGTATAAGAGAGCATAATCCCTAATAAACAGTATTTATAATGAGTTAAAATCTATTACTCTCAGGTGAATTAAAAGAAAACGTTTAGATTTTTGCCTGTTCACCAGCTAGTTTTATGTGATCAGATACTCCTCAAATTCCTCTTCATAAGAACACGAGTTTAAGTTTTATTGTTTTGTTCATTAGGGATTTAAAAATTAAATACTTTAAAATATCTGAAAATTTGTGTAATTTTCCGAGGCTCTTTTCCTATTAATTTTAATAATGGACAAATTCTAAGGACGCGAAATTATTATTATTATTATTATTATTATTATTATTATTATTATTATTATTATTATTATTATTATTATTATTATTATTATTATTATTATTATCATTATTATTATTATTATCGCGTTTATTATTTTGTCAATTAGTATTGTAATAATAAATATTATTTCTACTTTTTTATGTTATTTATTAATATAGTAGTTACATAAAAATAACAACTATTTTTTATGGATATTGATTGTTATCTCCAAGTTTCCGGCATTTGAACTCAAGGGGAAAATGAGTGCTAATTAGGGTATACAAATCAATTTGATAACATAATTTATTTATTTATTAATCAGGAATAAACTGACGGATTATTTTACCCTATTTTCTAACATCTAACGTTAGCGTGTGTAAAGTGCTGAAGGAGTGCTCTATCTCAGGCTAGTATATCAAGCATATATTATAGGATAAAGGATTCTCAATATATTTTTCGTAATAATCTTCGCATAAATTATTATATAGAGGATTTTTAAACACTGTGTCCACACGCAGTATATGAACAGCGATAGACGACGGAAGAATTCTCAGACCACACTTCCTAATATCTTACGGTGTAAATGTCAATATTAATTAATACTTTGTTAAAGTGGACCGAATCTGTTGTATTATCTATTATCATATGTTGGATATAAGGAACAGTACAATATCCGTGGGTCACTGTTTTGCAACCTTTACATTAAAAATTGAAAGACGCCCTTGGAATCATGATTAGAAAAATACAGTTTTGAAATTGCCATATAACCCTTTTGGCTGGTAAAAATGCTGTATCAAGCCATAGTTGGAAAAAGGATCCAATATTTATTTTAAGAAGTGTGAAATAATCTATAAAAGTAATTTTTAATCTATAAAAGTAATTTTAGAGCTAGAAGGGGAAATGTTAACCAAACCACACACTAGAAAGTGAAGGGACGACGACGATTCGGTCCGTCTTGGACTATTCTCAAGTCGATTGTGTCTCGACACAAAATATATATATATATATATATATATATATATATATATATATATATATATATATATATATATATATATATATATATATATACATATATATATATATATATATATATATATATATATATATATATATATATATATAAATATATATATATATATATATATATATATATATATATATATATATATATATATATATATATATATATATATATATATATATATATATATATATATATATATATATATATATATATATATATATATATATATATATATATATATATATATATATATTTATATTGCACATCAAGTAATTAAGTTCAGAAGTTTGTTTTATGTAAAACAGATGCTTAAAGTAAAACCCCAATCTTTCTTTCTTTGAAGGAAAATCTTTACTGAATGAAATTATAATAATTTATTCTAGTTTCTGCGACTATTGTTGAATGTTAATGTTTGTTATCACTGGTGACGTTCTTCCCATTAATTTTTGAGTTAAATAGGATCATGGCACGGAAGAGATTCCTGCATTTCACTTATTTCTGTTTGGTGATTCAGGTAAAAACAATTGAGAAGATTTAAGTAAACGGTAAACATCATGTACAGTTACTTTTCCACTGTGATTGAAAGCAGTTGTCGATAATGCTTGCTTATTATTTTCTGTTACTGTGATGTATGTGTGTGTCTGTCACTCTGGTCTCTTAAAGGGAAACAATGAAGGTCGACTGTGTTCACAATCAAGTTTGACTCTCCGTACTTGATTCGGAATACTGCGCTAACATTTTAATAGGGATAGCACTAGTATACAGCGGCAGTTGTTGAGACATTTGCCAGTGAAACTAGATTCATCCCAAGTTAATGTTTCGTCTTTTCGCGACCTTTATATTTTAAGAACACTTTCTATCATTACTTATGAATGTTTAAATAATTAACACGGTTATTTAAAGAATAAAAAATTTATTATGTTGTAGATGTGGAGGGAGAGCGTGTTATGCAAGATGTTTCAATAACGGTGTAAGGAGTATATTCTGATTTCCCCCATGATATTGGGATGTAGTGGTCATTCTCGTTTTTTAAATAATTTTCCAATAGTTTTACGATTCCTCTAGAACAGTTTGAGCGTATTGTTTCAAAATTTACATTAAGTTTCTTCATGGTAACCCTAATTGCGTAATTTGAATGAACAGACTTTATTTTCTGCACTTCTAGTCCGGCATTTGAGTTTCGTTAATATCTATAAAAAAGACGAGTTTCTTGTCTAAATTACAAAAAAATAGGGAATGTTTGGTTTAGATTCAAATCCCAGTTATAGGAATGTTGTATGATAGTATGACAAGTTACCAAACTCCAGTCAATGTACTTTATTGAAAAAAATTAAATACACAAAGTTTTTCACTCTCCTGGGTGCTTTGTTAAGGTCTGAGTACAGTTTAGTTTAGTTCATTTATTATACACCCCATACCCTTCTTGTGGGCGGCAGTGGAAAGGGTTACAGAGGCACATAATGGGCTCAGGGACTAAACCCTGAGACTAACTCAGGGACTAAACAATTCATTTAGCTAAGCAAGCTACAATCGTGATGAGTAAGTTACAAAATTAAGTATATGTCGTCACATCAACAATGGGTTCGAGAATGATCACAAGCACAGTTTCTAAATTAAGCAACTGACATATGTGGAGAGCTAGTGTCACAATTGATATGTTTGTCCTGCACCACGCCCCCCATCCAGTGGGCAGCGGTGGATAGGTTACAATCACTTAGTTACTACCTACAGTTAGCAAACTAGGGATATTTGGCAAAAATATTTGGTAGCAGATCATTTTGAATGAAATATTTACACATCGCTGGAACATTGGTTATAGAATTGTCTCTAAATTCACTTATCTTTTCGCACTTTATCACATAGTGACGGAGGGTGTGCGAATAATTTTGTTGACACAGTTTACATTTGGTCAGGTCTACATCGGCAGATAATGACAATTCCGAGGGATACTTGTAACCGAGTCTAAGTTGAGCAGTAGTAACATCTAGAAGTCTGCTGATTTTATTGGATGGTCCATCGATGTGTAGCTCCTCTTGCATGATAGTATGATGATAGATGGAATTACTGGTGTCAATTTCACTTTGCCCCAGATCTACAAGATCTTGTTGAAGTTCTCGGTGTACTGCTGCTCTCAGATTGCTCATTGACAATCCAAGGTTACACTCAACGGCTTCTTTTAAGGCAGATTCTTTGGCTAACGTATCAGCTTTACCATGCATTTGGAGGCCAACATGAGATGGAGACCACATAAAATGGACTCTGTTACCATCCTTAATAATTTTGTTGTATTTGTGTCTAGCTCGGACACGAGCATGTTACAGTTATGTCTTAAAGAGTTGAGAGCATTTAAGAATGGTAAGGAGTCACTTACAATTAATGTATCAAGTTTGGAGACTTGTACACATTTCAGAGCAAGGAGCAAGGCAAATAGTTCGGTCTGAAGGGTAGAGGCCCAGTTGTTTATACGGACTCCCACTCAAAGTATAAGCCATCGCCCATTGTCAGGATAACTGCACTTCCAGCTGCACCCGTGGAGCGATGTAAGGAACCATCAGTGTATATGATTTGAGAGAGAGAGAATGCTCTGTGGACAGAGCATCAATATGACTTCAGGCGTTGAGCTTTGCCTCAAGACGAAGCTTGGGCTGATCTCTAATTTGCTTCATGGGTGGAAAGGGAGGGATTAAAACTGGAAAGAGTGTTATCTCCCACGGTGCAGGAAAGTTCCGTAGTTGTTTCTCTTGGAACAAATCATGAACCTGATACATTCTGAGTTGAGTTCCAGTTTTAGTTATCCATTTGGACCAATGCTCTGAGTACATAATATGAAAAGACTTAAATCACAACGATCAATCGCTGAGACGTAAGTCCTCGTCATGTACTATACTCAGACCTTGATAAAACACTCAGGAGAGCGCGAAAGACTTGATGTTTTATTAATTTTTTCTTACACTACACAGTGACATAAGTGTGTTTTTTATCGTTACTAATTGGTCTGTTATTTTATTGAATTTCTATCAAATTCGTTGGAATATATAATTCAGCAATTGCTTCTTTACATTTTTATGCTCATCTGTTTGATTAATAAATTATATATTGTATTATAATTGGAATTTTGGTCAGTTTCTCAGATTAACTTATAATATCATGTAATAATTGCTCTTAATTTATTTTTGTTTCTCATATTGTAACTGAAGAAGTAATAAAGTAATTTTAAGACGTATATTCATATTTTTTCAACGCAAAAAGCGAAGAAGGAAAAGAGCAAGAGAGAAAGAGCAAGGGAGGAACAGAGAGCTAGCGAGCGATAGAGACCGCGCGTGAGGGAGACAGACAGGCAGACATAGGAAAAAGAGGCAGACACTCATATATACATAGACAGAAGCCAGCAAATAGGTACAGAAAGAGACACAGACATACAGAGACAGGTAGATACAGAGGGGGATGGGTGTATGATAAGGGGAGAGGAGAGAAAAAGTTAGTTTGAGCAAGATAATGGGAAGAACATTTGAATTTTTAAGAACGTATTATTATTATTAATACTTTCTTATTATCTATTTTTATTATTTATACTATTATTAGATTAAATATTATTTATCATTATTATCTACTTTTATTTTTCCACACCTTCATTTTTTATTTATTCTTCCTATAATTATTTTTGACCTTCATACCGTTAATACCGTTTCTCTTTTGATTCAAGCAAGCATCAATCATGATGGATTGATTTAGGTGTAAATATAACCACATTTGTTATCAATATTTAATATTCTTATATAATTTTTATCTATATATTTGTTTTTGTTTTCCTTCCGTCATTTATGGTATCAATGTATGCACTATATGAGCTCGCCGGCCTAGCTTGAGTGTTGCCATCTTGCCATAGTGTGGTTAGATGACCCCACTAAGCTGAGGATTGCTACCTTGACATTGTGGGGCGAGAACCCCAGTGACCTGAGGGCTGTCGTCTTGACACAATACCGTGATACAGCCTTAGGCCAAAGGGTTGCTCTACTGGCAAAGTGGAATGGGGGATGGTCCCTTTGCTTTTGTGAGGATTGCCACTTTGCTACAGTGGAGAAAATTTTCCCTAATGGCCTGTGGGGTGCTACTTTGCCATAGACTTTGCCATTGTGTGGAGAAGTTAGCTTGAATGAATATATTTTGACAACCCTTAATATCAATGTACTCACTGCCACACCAACTAATACCATATCTCTCTCCTCCTCTTCTTAATCTCAATACTGCTTTCATATCTTCAGACGAGCCGGAAGGCACGGACCAAGTACACGAGGAAACGATTCTAAGGAAAGGTTAGATAATTATTTTTGATATATTCATTTACAAATTCTTTCAGTCCTCTTTAATATTGGTTTACCTCTTCTTTATTTTTTCATTTTTTTTAGTTTTCTCTTTTGATTCAAGCATGCATTAGCTCAGTGACTGAGGAGTTCATTCAGAACAACACCGCAAACAGTCTGTCAGATGTTTCATTTTAAATGGCATTATTAAAGTTTTATTCATGTTTTTTCGTGCTATTTTTATCTTTTTTTTCAGTGATGCTTATATTGTTTTTAAAATAATTTAAAGGAAAATAAAAATCAATTTGGGTTGAGGCAATTAATTTCGCTTCGAATTTAAAAGTCGAAGTGGAAACTTTTCAGCGATCAGTTCAGTGATTTATTCAATAATGCGGCATTTTCGCATACAGCTGTTACTGTTTCGAGAACTGCTGTTATTACTTCTACAATAACAACTACTACTACTACTATTAATACTGATGTTTCAAATGAAAATTTCATTTCAACGGTTGCTTCAACTGCAACTGACTTCATCTCTCCTACCAACCGTTCTATTACCACTGCTAATTCGGCCACTTGTTAGTTGAGCAACAGCTTCGTATTTTTTACATGGTTCAAGTTCAAATCCTTGCTGTTCTCGATTAAATAAAATATTTAATGACTACAATATTTATGATTCCGTTTACAAGAAGTGGATGAACGTGTAAATGAAATACTTATATTAAATTATGAAAAAGACTTTAAATTACATGAATCTAAGCACTAACGTGGAATTGACTGCCCGAAATCATTCTTAAATAGCTTGAATAAGTGCATATTTTATCTCGCCATTATATTAAAAGATTGTTATTTTCGTTTCAATGAAGAAAACGTTAAAAACTTCAACTATGGTGATCGAGCTTTGATAATTATTTTTAATTAGATCCTGAGATTGCAGAGACACGGGCTACAGTAGTGAAAATGTGCGCTGCTACGGTGCTGAAGAGAGTTTGAACGATTGTCCAGCAGAATTCATTAAGTTGCTTTGAGCCAAGGTTCTTTCCAACCGCTCATGGACCAACCCGTCCTCTTAAAAATAACGTCACTTTTCGGTCGTATGCGCACTATGGCCAAATTGGGACGTAATTTGAAATGAAATCGGCTCACAAAAGAGACGTACTGTTCCGTTTTCTGTATGAGTCGTCCGCCTTACTCGGCAAGCTTAGAAGAGGAAACTTTCCATTAACGTTTTTCATACCGTTTTGAAACTTTATGAGAATTTCCTGCCCACCTTACCTATCAGAGGACCCTTAACTTACTGTTGTTGAAAAAAATCCCAAATTTATTTTATTTTTTCTTTCATTTTCATATTACGTCCATATTCGGCTATACGGGCAAACGGCCAGAAGCGACGTTCTTTTTAAGGGGACAGGTTGGCTGATGTGGATTAATTATGTTACTACTACTACTACTGTCCAACCGCTCAGTATCGACCCTCTGAACTGCTATATAAATCTGTCACTCCAATGGCAAGCTAACCGGTTACCCTGAATTTGTTTCTCTTGTGTAAATAACTGCTGGTCCGTGGATTAATCATGTCTTGTCTCCAGGATTCAAGAACTAAGACGTATCACTGACTGTGCCCATGTTTCTCTGTTTTACGGCAAACTGTTGAATGTTCATGAAAGAGAAGCAACAATGCGTTCACTTACATTTTACGTTTATGTAGAAGCTGCAGGAATACGAGGGTCCGCAACCTGTGACTAGTTTCTTTGTGGATATTCTCTGTTGCAACTGTTCTGCACCGTTCTGGACTATTCAGTATATTTTTTGTGCACCGACTCACAAGGTCTATGCGATATATCAGATAAGAATATCAGGCGTACATGTTCACTTCTTCAAGGTTTTTATGATGACTTTTTAAGTTCTCATCGTATTTTTCCCCTCAAAGTATTTTTTTCGTTGCATTTGAAAATTTATGCGGTTATAACCATTGCATAATGAAGTAACTGTAATTGATGTGATTTCCACGTGCTGTCTACTGCTCCCACAGAGAGGATTAGTTAGGATATGCCGTGGACTGACTGCAGTACGATTTTCATAACTGCCATTGCTTTCAAGATGCTATTGCTTGATATCGTTGTAAGTTCCTTCAGAATTTTCTTGTAGGATGTGGACTCCTAGCAATATCGTCATACTGAAAGTCAAACTACTCGGCGTTAGAAAAATGTCTACAGTGTTTTAAATATGAATACAAAAATTTATCAGTGATTCTAGCGTTGAGACTGACCAGATGCCATGCATGTGATATGACATAATTGACTTTTTCATTAACAGATACCCAAGTACAGCTCATTATTTATATATAACAGTGCATAAATAACGCGAACATAACGTCAGTTGACCTCACAGGAAGTGCAGCGATGTCACAGGCAAAGTTCTAATATAGATACTTTCAGTGTGCAGCTCAGCAGTGTCTTATATTACCGCTTTGGCATTAAAGTCATTATAATATGCGTAGCCATTCAGTTTTCTTTGTCATGCTGTTCTTGAGAAGTTGCGAATGTTATTGTGAATTTTGTTCCACCCATGACATTACTGAACTTAAAGTTGAGCAGTCATAGTCACGGCTTGATTCGAGTCTAAACAATGACGGGCTTAGTGCTGCATGTTTGGATCATGATGATCGGAATTAGCAGAAAAGTAGGATCTTTTATAATCTCAAGTTATATAATGTTTTAGAGCTTGAACACAGGTTGTAGGATTATACTTGCTTGAATATTCGAGGTTGGCTCGTCTCGGCTGCGCTATGCTCACTTGGCTGACTTGTTGTCCTGGATTTTATTACCTCATTTTAGTTTTAGCGAAATATTTTATTAACGGCTGTTAATTTTTGTTTTGATATATTTTGCTTCAGTAAACGTTGTGATTATAAATCAGGTAACACATTAATCTTGGAGCAGCCGTCGTAGTTATTGTCCTCTATGATCAGCAGCAAAAGGTGTTTCATAATATAAGGTTTCTTTGTGCTAGTAGAGTCTTTTCATATGTGTTTTCATAATGTATTAAAATGCACATATTTTCCTACTAGAAGAGATTTAGTAACACCCCTGGCGTATGTCAGCACTGTGGAGAAATGTAAGGCAGACCACTGGAACATTATCTAACACAGTGCACAGTTACAAACCCATTAAGATTTCAACTTAGTTTCAACAGAGCAGAAGAAGTTGTTAAACATATATAGCAAAATCTTACTGAAGCAATCATACGAGTCATTAATACTCATATTCCGTCCAAGTAAAAGAGAAACTAGGAACACTTAGTGGGCCAGCCAGAGGCTTAGGGCCCGCGCAGGAATATCCCTGCAAAAAAAAAAAATATAAACACTGGCGTCTCCTCCCGAGCTCTGCCTCACTGCTCGACCCAGCCACTGAGGAAGGGAAGAGAGTGGGTGTCTTGTATACACTGTGCTGTGTTCTCTCCTAATACAGTATATCATGTATTTTTTTCCTCCTGTACTAATCTACACTGCTAAATTGCTACAGAAAATATTTATGGAAGTTTTGCAATGCTCTTAATATCTAACATAGACTTGAAATGTGCTCTTGATATGCGTTCCTATTAATGATTTTGAGATGATAACTAATGTTTTTATTCTTCTCCTGAAAGGTGTAGTACATCTTTTTCTCGGCATTAGGAACAAACATTCTACTGATAGTTTATGTAGTAATCTGTCACACTTCTGTTTCTCTCAAATGTCTGTTTAAATATTTTCTCTTAATTTTCCAACATCTAACACCTGCAAAGCGCCACGGGATCAATGCAAAACTAGGTTCAATAGACCGATCGGGACCTATCGACTGACAAATGAACAGACATACATTGACAGAAAGACACTATAAAGTTACACGGAAAACAATTTAATATTAAATGAAGCAGAATTAAACTTGTTTGCAAAGATATTCACAAAAAACAAATATTCAAACGTTTATCGCCAAGTCTACCCCCAATCTCCATCTACTGAATTCTCATTGTTTGCATTTGGAATATGAACAAAATTAACATGTATTTTTTATTTTATATAAAAAATACTTCAGTATTTTTTGTAAATTATTCAGCATGCGAAATAGGTTAATTTACATTTTAAGTTGGGAAAGGTTACTCATCGATTAAATAAATTTTATTTCGCTCAGACATTGCCAATATAATTACTCTGCTTCCCACATTCATTTCGTATAAAAACATCAGCCAAGTAGGAAGCAGGTGCAGTGTAGGAAAAGACTACTGAAAATATTACAAACATAACACCAGTTCATTCATTATATTTTACACACTGCACACAATCACGAACCACCAGCACCACCACTACATACCATCACGAACCACCAGCACCACCACAACACACCATCACGAACCACCAGCACCAACACAACACACCATCACGAACCACCAGCACCACCACTACATACCATCACGAACCACCAGCACCACCACAACACACCATCACGAACCACCAGCACCACCACTACACACCATCACGAACCACCAGCACCACCAGAACACACTATCACGAACCACCAGCACCACCACAACACACCATCACGAACCACCAGCACCACCAGAACACACTATCACGAACCACCAGTACCACCACAACACACCATCACGAACCACCAGCACCACCACTGCACACCATCACGAACCACCAGCACCACCACTACATACCATCACGAACCACCAGCACCACCACAACACACCATCACGAACCACCATCACGAACCACGAGCACCACCACTACACACCATCACGAACCACCAGCACCACCACTACATACCATCACGAACCACCAGTACCACCACAACACACCATCACGAACCACCAGCACCACCACTACACACCATCACGAACCACCAGCACCACCACTACACACCATCACGAACCACCAGTACCACCACAACACACCATCACGAACCACCAGCAGCACCACTACACACCATCACGAACCACCAGTACCACCACTACATACCATCACG